TGATATACTAAAATAAATAAGCTGTTTGGAAATGGCTGAGTATGCACAGTTTGTAACAGTCAGGTGATTTTTATTGTGTAAGCTGGGTAGGCTGCTGGGGTTTAGGAGAAAACTTGTCCTCAGGGACATTCCTCCTGGGAGGTTTCTTATGCTTTGCTCTGAAGGTGCTGGCACTGATGCTGTCAGTGTCTAGATTTGCTGCTCTGCTAGCCTGACCAATCCGGAAGATCCTGTGCACTGTTGCATAGCGTCCAGCACCAGGAAGTAGAAGAGACTGAACAGATTGTTTGTGGCTCTGTCTTATAGCTTTCCACAAATGTTGCGTTATACCAGTAGTGCCCAATTCCTCCTGCTCTGCTATGTAGCTTATTTTAATAGCAGCGAAGGGCCGTGACTCTGACTTGTCATATGCCCAACATTGTGTATAGTAAGTAGAGCTGCTGCTCAGTCTTCTGTCCTGCCCTATGCGATGCCTGTCTGCTCTCTTGGAGAAGGCAGCTAGGAGATGGCTGCATTAATGGTTCCAGTGAACCTTCCTCCCCCACCCCCATGTATGGTTTTGTTTTGTTTTGTTTTTTAAGATCTGGAGCAGTCAAAGTTGGGTCTGGGCTGAATTAGTAGCTCTGGCTGTAGTCACAGCTGCCTTTTTTCGTTTGCTACAGGTACATGTCCACCTAGTGAAGGTCCTGCTGGAAGACTACAAGTAGCAGTTGGTGGCTTTTCATCAGAACAATTATTTCAGCCAGTAGCGTGTTCCTGCAGGACAGAAAGAAGTGTGGTGTAAACAGGCCAGGTGAATTTTCCTGGCAGACCAGAGATGCAACACAGGTGTAGACTTGCTTTCTGCCATGGCCCTTTAAATAGAGTTGTGTGGATCTGTGATGCCCACCAAAGACCACAGGAATTGCGTAGATGAAAATTAGTATGGTGGGTGAAAAAAATACATCTATAGTGCTGTGCTAGCATATTATGACTTGCATATTAACTTCTCTTGTTTCTGTGATTTCATTTTTAAGCTATCCATATACAGCACTTCAGAAACCATCTTGGTTTGTTTCAAATAAACATGTTCTAGGTGAGCATTAGCAGAGCTTTAGAAATGAAATCTGGACTAAGTGCAATTTAAATCTGTGCGCCTTGATTTAACAGTAGGCATGGCTCTGTTATACCTAGGAGATGCCTACAGTGATTCAGGTTTGAGATTTTAGATGAGTACATTTAACACTTGTATATGTAGGGATTTTTCAGAGCGGATGTCTTCCCTGGGAGTACTTTTTTTTTTTTTTTTAAAGTGTGCCCCATTTTGTGCTTACTTCCAAGTCTGCTGTTAGAAAGCCCCCAAAGAATTTCACTGGGCTCTGTATCAAGCTTTAATTAGTATGGTATGTATGAGCCAGGGCTGACATCTGAGGAGGCATGGATGAGCATTTGTCAAGGAGGAGGAAGAATGTTAGGGATGTGGACAGCAGGGTAGCGTATTTCTCTTTCACACAGGGTTCATTAGAGACAGTGCTTCACCTTTAAAAGAAAGTGAATTTTTAGACTAAATTGACTCAATGGATAAGATCCTTCTGAAATTCACAGCAACAGCATTATCCTTCCATTTGTAACTTGTTTCCCAAAGTCCAATCTTTGTGTGTGTATACATTCCCTGTACTCTGTCCCAACTCCAGACCCGTCAGGTTAGTGCCAGCTGCCTGTCCCTGCCTGTGTGCACAGTGTCATCCCAGGGTGACTCTCAGGCCAAGCACTTCAGAGTGTAATGAGGTCAGCTGTTGGCCCTGGGCAGGCAGGCTGCCACTTCTTGCTCTCGAAGGAAGGGCTCTATGTTGATGAAGTGTGACAAGGATGGTGCTGGTTTTAAAGGTGCTGTCGTGAGCTTCTCTTTCTGTTGAGCACCTGCAATGTTTCATGTAGACATTGCATTTGGACTTTTCTTGAGTGAAAAGCTTTTCATCCCTCCTTGCAGTTGTGGGTTCAGAAACCCACTGAGCGCACGGGTCCCCAGTGGCGAGGTCACACATCTCAAGTGCGTTCTGTGGCAGCTGATGCTGGCACTCTGTAGCCCTCTGTTTGCAGACTGCCTTTGCTGAGCTGGCCTCACACATGAGCTATAAATAAAACTTCTGCTTCCTCCTTTCTGATGTCTCAAAACCAAACTCTCCTTCATGGGGGTATGAGTTCCCATTTTGGGTTGAAATTTTTGCTGGTATAGCAAGAGATTCTACGCAAAAGGTACGTGAATTTGACTGTCACTTTTCATTTTAAACAAGCTAATCTGTTCTGGGTCTGAGGGAGTCGTCGTGGTTGGATTCCTTTATTGATTATTAGTAAAAAAGCTGAGTTACACATATTGTGGTGTTTGGGATAACTGAATTGCAAAGAAATATGTCCCTTTTTTTCACTGCTCACCTTTTCTCATCAAACAAGATTATCCAGGGGGTGCTGGGGATGGTGCAAGAGGAAGGGAAAAGTCACAGTACCTTTGTATCCCCAATGTCAGGTGTTAGCTGTGATTCAGAGAGTCAGAGTTCCTTGCCTTTTCAACAGGATGAGATATGTCTCTCTACAGCAGGAGTTTAAAGTCCTGAAGCTGAATGCTTAAAGTGGCCTAAAATAGCTAGAATGGAGGAGACCTACATTCACCTACATTGCTATATTCTCAGATAGTTTTGCAGGACTGGTGTTAGTTTAGCTTGACCACTGCTTGTGACCTCCAGACTTGATCAGAAAAATCTGTTTCCCCTCTGCACTGGTGTCTGTTCAGTGTTTGGCATTTAGAAAACTTCGTGCTACTTAAGCCTACCCCGGCTCAGCTGCGGTGTCGATCATATGTGGGGTAGTGGGGACCTTGCATACTCTTATTTCAAGAATCATAAAACACCCTGCAGTGCCATCACCAAATTACTTCTAATCGATAGATGATGATCTGGAGACTTTTGTGGCCTTTCTCCTGTGCTGAACGTATGCCCCGTCTTTAATGTGTTTGTAATTTGGGAGTGAAAGAAGTGGGATGGGAATTCTTTGTAGGGAAGAGAGAGACAGAGATCAGTAGGCTCTTCTTCCACACCTGCTTAATTTGTTTAGCTTCAACTGTAGTGAATGTCACTGGGTATAATGCAACATGAGTTCTGAATTCATTCAAATTACTGAAATAGTAGTATGTTACTCAACTTCTATTTATATGCTGTGGAGAAACAGGGATCAGAGTATTATAATTTAGATTCAGACTTTTTTTTTTTAATGAAGAACAAAGTTTTCATTTTCTGTTGTGTTAAAGACATCCCTTCCTAACAGGCGGGGAGCCAATTCTGGAACATAGTCTCCAGCTGCACAACTCAGAGTCCGGTGACATAGTTTGTAAAGTAATCTTCCAGTGACCTATTACCCCTTGGATGCTGAACACAGCACAGGGTAGCAGTTCCATAGGTCATTAGTCTATTTTTAGAGAGTCCTTAATCTGCAGAGCTCTGAATTTTGGAAGCCTTTTAATCCATTGATCCGTGCAAGCACTCTAATTTTTCATGCTTAAAAAAAAAAAAATCTGTATGCAAAGCAGTTGCTTCTTTACCCTGATGTGAGATCTGAAGTAACTTGACTCTTTAATAAAATATTTGACAGATGATTTCTGTTAAACAAAGTACCATAGCAAAGCAGGTGGGGACAATAGGCCTTGCAGACCACTGTTCTAGAAGATGTAATGACTTCTTTGACTCAAATGGAGGAACTTCAGCCAAAGTAATTGGCATTGACCTCATTCAGCATGGGAGAGAAAAGTGGCTTTATAATACTCTTAAACAAGCCAGGGCCATTTATTCTGAAGTTCTACTTCAAGGAAAATACAGGCAGCAGAGCTGAGAGGCAGTGCTATCTAGGAGTTAGAATAAAAAATTGGACTCGGGACTCCCAGGTTCAATTTCTGGCTCTTAACTTGCTGGGAACCTTGGCCTCGCTGTTCAGTCTATGCATTAGTGTTCTCCAAAACAGAATTCGCTTTTGACTTCTTTTGTTGTATAGTCTGTAGAAAAATCAAGCTTTGAGTGGGATGTTTCAGCTATACAAGTGGCCTTCCTATAAAACTTGATTTTATAGTTGAGGTGCCGAAAGTGATGTGTTCCCTACCTGCTAGAGAGGGTTTGTGTCCTAAGAGGACAACTTATGTATCAAATGAGATGGGCCTGCAAGTTGAGAAACCAAGTTTTGGCCGCAAAAGCGACAGCTAAGATTTCTTTTCATTTCTATGCTTTCAAGAGCTCTACAAGATTGCCTCATTAGCAATCATTGCCTCATTACTCTCAAATTTGGGCAATGGCCCTGTTGATAAGCGGGAAAACTGAAATCCAGATAGTGGATTGTTGCTTAAAGTCATATGCAAGTGCTAGATAGTATAGCCAGCTATGGATTCAAGGAAGGCCCCCAGTTCACTGTTTGTGCTCTCTCCCCCACGTCACTCCAGCGCTCTAAAGTCACCTTGACAATAGTGATGGGGATTTATTGTGCACTGCTTTAAAGAATTGAGAATTTTCTTTATTTCTCTTTCTTTTCCCTTTCTCAGATGCAAATTGGAACAGATCTAAATGCCAGCTAGGGAAGATCTTATTTGGTGGCCGTCTGAGATCGTGGGAAGATGGCCATTTACGGCTTCTGGAAGGATTTCATACTGTACAGTCCTGTCAGACTGCTTGCTGCCAGAGCCCCACCTGTGATGCCTTTTGGTTCTTGGAAAATATGTGCATCCAGGTGAACTGCACTATGCCTGGCACGTGTCAGGCAAACAGGACTGGCTCCTCTGACTCTGTTTTGGTATTTTTAAGGAAACCAAAAAGCACAGAGCACTTCTTAAAGTATCGAACAGAAAATGATGCAAAGACTTGGCTTCACAAGTGGTTGGACTGGGGCATCCCTGTCCAAGGCAAAAAAAGACTGCGGAGGTCCTTCCAGGAATGGAACTTGGCAAGTGACAGAGTGGATCTTCTGAAAAGGAATGTAGCTGCCATCCCCAGTAGTGAGACTGCGGCTGGCGAGCCAGCCAGACATCGAGAGAGTAAATCCAGAAGAAGCCGAAGTGAAACAGAATTTGAAGATCAACAAGTACTTAGGTCTTTAGTGCAGGACAAGCCTGATCCCGAAGGCCATCCAAATCAAGAGAAAGACTCGCTTAAAACGGGACAGAATTCAAGAGGGCAGAAACCCAAAAGCCCATTCCGTCCTAAAAGCAATAATGTGACTAGATCAAGTGATGCAAATGCCACTGGCTTTCTACAGGTAAGTGTGATTGCTGGGGCTGAAAGAGGACTGGCTTAGGCTGCTACCGTTCTTCTGCCTGGTCGTGCTTTCCTCTCTCCTCTGGGATAACTAGCTGTGGGGAGATGGGGGGAAACTGAACTCACGATGATGCTTATCTCTTGTATAATCACACAACACGCTTGCCAGATGAGAAGGAAAGGTGAGATGTGGTATTAATGGGAAGTGCCTCGGAGCTGAGAAGTGTTACCTATAAAATACCTTCTTGCAAAGGGCCACAAAATAAAATGAGTTGTTTCCTTTTGAGTGTTTTGAACTGAGGCAGTTAAGTGCATTATTTTGTAGAGTTTCCAGCGTATTTTAATGGCAACTCACTTATCTGAGTTGACACTTTAACATTTTACATTTTTGGAGTAGAGTTTAAATTGGTTTCATTTAACCAATGCCAATATAAGCTTTGGTGTATTTGAGAATCTGAAGCCCTCTTTGAAAACAGAATGAAAAAAGTTAATCTAGTAATTCTAGTTATCTGTCTCAACAGAAATCGGCACGTTTGAATCATTAAATGATGTTTGTGTATTTAAATCTGCAAATACTTTTTTGGACCTTATCACACAAAGAAGTCCCTCTAGTAGTGATAGTGATAGAGGAAGAATCCTGCTTTGTGACACTGTTTCTTACATATCTTCTGCCCTGTTTCTAGGATTTGGCACTGTTGAAGCCTGGTGCTTTTTCCTGTAGTTACGTTTTTGTTCTAGAAACTTAACAGAAATTATTTCTCTCCCTTGTTTGCAAATCTCAGTTCCAGGTAGGGCTGTGACTGATCTGAGCCACCACCCTGTAGAGCAGGATGTGGAGAGCAGCCAAAGGACACTGCTGCGAATTCCAGGGCAGCCCGGGTGGTGTGTGAAATGATGCAGAAAAACTTTACAAATGTTTGATCTCCCAGAGCCCCACAGCATTTGGGACTGATTTATGATCTCAGCTTTCTTTCTCCCCTGCAATACTGCAGCATTTCTGCCCTGCCTGTTCATTCTTCTTCCTAAGAAGATCTTTTGAGATTTACACAGTGACCCCATTCTCTTATTTGATGTGTGCGCAACATCTGTGGAGGCTTCTTTGCAGACAGTCTTAAATGTATTCTTTTGCTCTTGGGTAATAGTTGTTATATCTCCCTGCTTGTTCAGTTTGCAGTGTTGCAGCATTCTGAGTTGTCATATTATTACCGTTTGGTATCTGCCAAATAAACAGGTTGCAAATATTATTAAATTAGGTTGGCTAGTTGCCTGCTGAATATCACTGAGTAGCCAAGGTTTCCCATCTTTAGGAAGTGCCCTTCTTTGTCATTAAGGTAAACTGTTGCAAGTATGCTGGAGAAAGATTTTTCTTCTCCATATTGGTTTTTGCTAGTAAGAAAGTCTTAGAAAGTTTTGACAAAATGCAGGTTTATCAAAATAAAAACTTTTTAACAAAATGTATTGACTGTGGTGGAATTCCTGGCACTCACATTTCTGAGGTTTAGGATAGAGTTTTTAAGGAGGAGCAGGATAAAAATCCACCTTAACTAGAGTATTGAGTTGAACCTGGTTCTACTCAGCCTTTGACTAATTCCTTGATTATTGAATCATCTAACTTTCACTGGCAAAATATAAGTCAAGCTATGCAACTGTCCTTGCATTTCTGATTTGAGAACAGTTTAATTTAGGCCAAGGATATAACATTCAGGGCTTTGCACTTGAGACGTGGCCAGCCTTTGCAAGAGACAGATGCTAAAGCAGAGAGTTTTCCAAGTTGGGTTGGTGATGAGCCAAAATAAATAATGTTACGTGCATGCTGAGATCAATAGCGTTACAGTTGGGCTAGATTTGGTTGAGTTCACAGAGCATGTTGCTTTATCAGGTGAATGCAGTGCATTTAATACTTGTATTCTTAAAGGAGGTTTGGCAGGTAGGCTGGAAGGTGCAGAGAATACTTGATCGTTACTGCATGCAAAGTAGGTTGTACCTGAGAGCATCAAACATCTCAAGTGGGAAAAGACATGTGTGGTCAAACTGGCTCTTGACTCCTCTGTAAAGGAGGAGAGAGAAATTAATGTGCATGTTCTTCCCTTTTGATGACAAGCATTGAACGGGTGGCAAGGCAAATGTTTTTCCTTTGCTCCTAAAGGCTTGGGGAAAGGTCAAGGGACTGTTTTAGGAAAGCATTGCCTTGCAGCTCACTGAGTTTTAATTTTCTTGCAGTTCTGACAGCTCAGTAGTCATAAGCAATGTCATTTGCTAACATACAACTAGCATTCATTTGTAGTTTTGTAGTATGCATTCTATAGTGCCAGAGATGGGTGAAGGAGAGTGTGAGTAAACTACAGTCCACCCTGCTCATCAGCCCTTCTCTAAGAAAGAGAAATTGGTGCTTTTCCGTTAAAGAGGGTGACATTCTGCAGGCACCAAAATCTCAGTTCCTGCCCTGTTGTAAGAGGTGTTCGCCAATTTTAAGATAAAGCACGGGATTTAATAGCTGATCAGGATAAGTATTGAAGTGCAGCACTACTGATGAAGATGATTACTGCAGCACGTCTGCAGGCAGGCTGTGCAGAAAGCTTCAAAATGGAATTGTTGCAACAGAATCAAAAGGGAGCTCATTCCTACATTCAGGACGTCACAATTTTAGCTATGGTTGGCCCTAGCACACCTGAGGTTTGGTTCGTACTGTCATATATCCTGCTAGTTTGGGGCACTTTTTACGCTGGGAGGAAAGAGGAAAGGTCTCTTTCATAGCCAGCACTAATTCTGTAGTGGTTAGTGGCATTCCCCATATCCGCTGAGTGTCTCTGAAGTCCTCACAGACACTGCACCTAAAGCAAACTATTAGACACTATCTGAGATGCAGAGAGCCTGCTTTGTAAATTCAGACCAAGCTCACTGAATTAAGTCCTATTTAAATAAAACAAACGTCCTTTACACAATATTGTTCTTTCAAGTAACTTAATGTTCAGTGCAAATTCAGATGCACTTAGTTGCTCTTGCTCTATTCTACAGATGTAGGATTTTAAGATAGGGAGGCCAGGTCACTTATCCCAGGCCAAAGGGAGTTAGGGATAGGAATCAAAAGTGTCTGACACTCACATGTTCACTCAGACCAATATGCCACTTTTCTCTGTCTATTTTGTAAGCTAATAAGATAGGGCAGCTGGCAAACTTCTAGTCTCCTTCTTTATCCTGAAGAATGAAATCTTCTGTTCTTTGCTTTAAAGAATTCTGGGTTATGGAGTAAAGATAAGAACTGTCTCAGCTTGCAAGCATTAGAGGCATTTTGGCTGTTACGTTGCCCCAGGCAAAGCTTATCTAATTTGAGCTCTCTGCAGACATTTGGCTGTCAATTCATCCTGAAGACTTTTGGGAGGAGGAAGAGGATCTCTGTAAACTGTAGAGGTTTTTTTAGGCATTAAAAAATGAGTCAGGGAAGCACCCAGCTCACTGAGAACATTATTGAGCAAAGTTGAGGTCTCAGTTGTTGTGCCCAGCGGGTAGACGCTCATCTCCTGTGCACCATTTGTGACAGCTGTTCTTGCCACCTCTGTGGGTTGGTTCCTGTTAAGCAAAAAGTGCTTCCCTATAGCTGTGTCAAGTCATGGGGTCTTTCTGCTCCTGTGCCTTTTCTAAATAGTCTGTCTTAAGTGTCTGAGTTTCTGCCTGGTCTTTCTGCTCTTGTCATCTTAGAATGCCAGTATTTCTAACTGTATCTTATTTGCTTACTTGGCAAAGGGGAGTCAGTAACTCTAGTTGACTAGTGCTGCAGGTTGTCGTGCATTGTTTGGAACTGCTGTCCTGAGGCTGCTGATGAGCAACCACACAGAGCGCTGTGTCGGATTTTGCCTGCCTCTGTTCCAGATAATCTCCAGTTTTGCTAAAGGTAGAGGAAGCCCATGAACAAGCAAGCAAATAGGGGGGGGAAAAAAAAGTTTGTGTCCGTAATGCTAATAAACAGTGTTTGTTTCTTCTGTCCCTGAAGCTTGAAAGTTTGTTAAATATACAAATGAATTGAGGTTCTTTGAATTCTGTGACTAAGGGAGAGTTAGCTGAGGTGCAGGAGAGGAAATGGTTAGCCCGAGAGTACAAAAAAAAAATTCTTACAGAGAAGCTTTCAACTCTTTCCTTGCTGCTTTTGGCTTGGCTGGCTGTACCAGTATGTGCAGCGATGGCTTTATTTTTACTACTAGTATTTAACTGTTTTCTGAAGCCCAGCCCATTTACTGACAGGATGTTGCCCACTGTGGTCTAGAGCATTTTTACTGTTTTCATTTCCTGGACTGAATGCCAGTAGTATTGCATAAAAGCATGAGAATGTTTCCTCCAATATGAGCTTTTGACCAGCTGCTCTAGTAGGGAGCAGTGCTGGGCAATTCAGCTACAAAACATTTCCCAAGTCAAAGATGGTAAATTGCTTCATTTTAAGTATTTAGCAGATGCTCTCAAAATAGAGTTAGCTCAACAAAATGTACGCATGTATTTTATGATGAAAGGTGAATTGGCAGGGTACTACCCTGCAGGCTAAGAACCTGAATGGGGATAGGTACTGTAAAAGGAATTTTCTGATGAAAGAAAGGAAATTGTTCTTGTCCACTTTGCTTATTTTCAATAAAGTGGCTCATCCTGCATGGATGTGTGCAAGCTTTCTGCCCGCAAGGTTAACTCCCTGCCCCAGCAGTATCTCCTGTGGCATGTACTCAGGGAACTGTTTGTGTCAGGTCGTCTTGCTTTGAAGAATGTTTTTGAAATAATATCAACTTGCTGCAATGATTTGAAAGTTACAGAAAAATGCTATTGGAATCCTCTTCCTTTGTGCCTGCCAACTGTACAGCTTCAGAAAAAGGAATGCATGGCCAGAATAAATGGCCAAAGTGAACCCTATTTCCTGGTTCCTCTTTTCTGCTTCTGTCTTATTCTCTCTCTCCATTCTTTTAGCTCCACTCACTACAATTTTGAACCTAGGATCTTCTGCCATGTTTGCCACATCAACAGCAGTGGTACTTCAGATGCAGTACTTCAGATCTAAGATCTTAACTGGTGTTAGGCCATTTTGAACTCAAAATGGCCTCTCTGTTCTGGAGGAGGAACTCTGGAAGAATAGAGAGAAATATTTTAGAAGACAGAAGAGGAAGCAGTAAAACATCCTTCTTGTTGGGGAAAAACAAACAAGGGAGTCTTCGCCCTCTCTAATTGGAGGAGGTGAAGTCTTAACTTCTGGTGGAGTTTGATATATAGCATAATCCAAAGGAATTTGGCTCCACTGTGAAACCAACACAGTGAAACAAAGTTGACATTCAGACTTCAGTCAAGCTAAGGTTACTTTTTCCTTTCCAGGTCCACACAGGAACATCTGTGCCAGAACCATCGGCATTGGCTACGTTCTCCAGTCCTGTAGCTCTGGGCTTGACAGCCGTTGGAAAGACCGAAAAACCTAGGCAGCCAGATGATGCTTTTGTCCATCCTCACTCCTCAGAGATGCCCACAGTCAGTGCTGTTCAGGGTAAAACCACAATGAAGATGCAGGTTGCTACTTCCGTGCCGAGTGGTGTTCCCACAAATGGCAGTGTTCCCACAATCCAAACCAACGCTCCTATATCACCAAGTACTACTGCCCCCACCCCAGGTGAGAACATACAGTGCTCCAGCAACTCTCGTTTATTTACATTTTGTTGACAAGCTGTTGCAGCATTGAAAAACACTGGATAATTTCAGAAATTAGGGTATCTTTTAAAGGGTATTGAGACAGGCTCTTCAGCACGTGTGCTAGTTACTCCCCATTAATTTATGAAGACCTGGAATGGGTTTTTAGCGTAACCAATCTGCATGTGACTATTGGATCTGTTTCTAAGAACAGCTTGAAAGTAATGGTGATATCTTCATTCCAAAAGTGAAAGATGAGATTTGATGCAAGGCATAATCATGTGAAACATTCTTTCAGCCGTTATGACATGCCACTGTCTATCAAGCTGAGCAGAAATCTTCATGTCTGTTCACAATGGATTGTAACTGATTTTTTTTTTTTTTCCCCCTACCTGAAACGTCAGTGCACAGTTTAGCTTTGGAGAACAGTGTACTTGGCCATTAGCCATGCCTTGCTTTGCAGAAAAATGACTTGTTTCTGTTCAGAGGTATTTCTTAAAGCAAAAATTTGAAAACGTGTAAAACCAAAAATGCACTTTGGATAGTTCTCTGTCAGCCCACTCAGACCATTAGCTCATCCTGCAAGGATGTGTGCTTACGTGGAATGGTGTGTACTGGTTGTCTGATATCTCAAAATTCAGTAAATCCAGTTTACTTTAGTATCCCTGGCTGAATTCTTTTGAATTTAGGGTTCCTTTTCCCTTTGGAGAGGACAAATGGAAAGTGTAAAGGAAATGCTGCATCCAAAGACTTTTTTGACAGGAAGCTGGTTGGGTACTTGTACTAACAAGTTGCTATTCTTTCTAAAGGCTTACCCAGCTAAAGCTGGAAAATATATATTAAATGACTTAAGTGATTTGTGTTGGAAAAGTAATGTAGCTAGGGCCTCCTTGTTTCACTAAATAATACAAAGATGATAAGGGTTGTTTTTCCAAAAGGGGTTTGGGGTTTTTGTCTGTTTGTTTTTTCTACTAGAAGGTCAGATTTCCTTTTACCTTGGAAATTTTTGGGACTGAAAGACTGATGGAGTTAAAATATTCCAGAAGACTGAGTAATTGAGAGGAAAAAGAGGGTTTGACAAACTTGTTTTCTCTTAGTTAACTAGTTATTTCCAATAGCTAATAAGCTGTTGGAAGGAAGACTAAACGCTTAACGATGTTTTCCCTATCTTTTTTTAACTTAGACTTTTGGTGCATATATCTGAAACATTATCTTCAATGGGGCTCAAACTAGGGAATAGCAAACTTTAATTTTTGTTTTCTAGGCATAATTCCCAGGCCTCAAAATTAAAAAAATAAATAAATAAACGGGAAGAGAAGGAGGAGGCAAAGATGCTCTTAAGAAATGCAGTCAACTTTCTGGTCATCTGAATGCTAATAACAAGCAGAAGAAAATGCCACAGACCGTATTTTTCATGCCTTTATCTGGTAGTCTTTAAAAGCAACCTACCTGTCAATTTATTTGAAATAGAATAGCAAGAAAAGTTTTAAGAAATGCTACTGACTCTGACTTTTCTGAACTGGAAAAGACCAGGAAGAAGAGAAAATACGAAGCTTTTCATTTTACTTATATTTTGAATTCCCGTAGCATGAATGTGGTAGCTATGCAGATTTTAAAAAATCTGTTGGCCCCCAAGCAATTTTTTGACTAAGAAATACTTTGAATTCCTCATATATTTGTAAAGATCTGAAATTGCTATTTACTGAATTGCAATGTTTGTCTTGCTCTGTCCATGAGAGTGCATCTGGGTTTTCTCCTGAAAACCTGTCGGGTAAAACCCTTCTCATCCTGCTGGACCTGGGTGAATAGAGGCCCCTGTACAAGGTCAGGGGATCACATTTCAGCTCTTTACAAAAGAAGCAGGAACTGCACAGTATCTGCAAAGAGAGAGGTGACTGAGTAATTTTGGGCTTGCCTTAAAATTGTAAAACCTCATTAGTGCTTTTGCATTAAAAGTAGTCTGAAATAGTCTGAAACCTGAAACAGAAGCTATATTGAGTGATGGGATGTTTACAAAATACAGCCGTTTGTAGCTGGCTTTTATTCCGTAGACTCTGAAGCCCAGGCAGTTTTTATGTACGTATCTAATTTTTTCCTCTTCCTCTTTCAATTCTGTGTTTCTCCCTCTCAGTTATAAAGGAGCTGGTAGTTTCAGCTGGAGACAGCGTCCAAGTGACCCTACCAAAGAATGAAGTTCAACTGAATGCGTTTGTGCTTCCTGAACCACCGCCTGGTAAGGCTTCGCTGGGAGTTCTCCTTAGGGCATATGCTGGTAAAAATAAACATTAGATACAGCGTTCCAATACCTTCCATCAGAGTACAGTTTTCTGTAGAAACTAGGCCTCCTGTACTGTTATCCCATGCTGCCTCTCGCAGAAAATAGCGAGAGACAAAAGCCTTAAAAATGCCACAATCATTAGATTAGACTTGCAAGACAGCTTATTCTCAAAGTGCTATGTGAGGAGGCAGTGGGTCTTCAGCAGCTCTTGGTGATGTGTGCTTGCAGGGCTTGTGACAGCCTGTCTTAGCAAGTGATTTCTCATCATCTGTATTAAAGTCTGACTTTGAGGTGGTTGACACACTGAGGAACGTATTTCTATATACGCTCCATTTCATCATGCAAATTGTTCACAAGTATTTGTGGAGTTTGCATGTATAGCTGTGTCCACGATGGCAGTGGGAGACTTGCCAAGGAGAGGCAAGCATGTTACATGTTGTGCAGCAGCAGTGTTAAATGGGATGCATTCCTTTTCAAAAACTGGCTTTACGTTGTGCCAGCAGGATTTGTGGGCACAGAAAGACTTCTGTCAACATCCTGAAGCTGTGATTGTTCCAAAGCTCTCTAATACCTTAGGAGGCTGCAAGAAGGTTTTTGGCTCCAGAGTAAACATGTTTAGAAGCACAGGTTGTCTCTTTTCCTGGGTATATTCCCCAAAAGCTGCAGTCTAAACGCCATGCTGTCTTATTTTTCCATAGTGCAGCAGAATGGACCTTGTAAATGTTTAACACCTTTGCTGTTCTTCAGCATGACAGAAGGGAAAAGGTGGTCTTTTAAGAATTAACTTCTAGAACTTTTTTTTTTAAGGAACTAGTTACTCCTATGAGTGGGAACTCATTACTCATCCAAAAGACTACAGTGGAGAAATGGAAGGGAAGCACTCCCAGACCCTTAAGTTATCTAAGGTAAAGCTTTTGCTGCTTACTATCCTGCTGTGTGGAATGCCAAGTGGAGAAGACAGGGACCTTGGCAACCAGGAAAGACTTGTATGTGATTTCAGGATGAATAGGAAATTGCATGATGGGCAGGCAGCCAGCATTCGACTGCAAGCCCTCTTCTAAGTCTCTTATAAAGAGAAGATTGATCTGGCATGGGGGAAAGAAGAAATTGATTTCAGGGTCTAAAAGCTGCCTACAAGCGGTGTGTCAAACCATATACAAATGGCACAATTTAACGAATGGCTCTGAATATTTTTGCTACCGAAACAGTGTGGTAGTCAGTTTAGGTCTGAAGCCTTGTACTCCCCACTGAAGAAGGGAGTTCAGATATTCCATGACTCTTATTAACGGGATCAGCATAGAAAGCTCCTGGCTGCTGCTTTAAGACAAGCTCTAACCCAGTGAAAGGATTGTCGTTTTCTGCATGTGAGGATTCTTAAAAAGAGAATGACTTTCAATAATACGTTATGATACAATTTTGTTTTTATGGGATGTTCTCCTGAGCATTTTGGATCCTAGTGCGCTCAAAAAAATTTACAGGCTTTAGTCATGACACCATGCAGAAAAAAGCCCTTCAAAAGGAAAATGTCTGTCTTTGTCAGGGTTTCAGCCTTTCGGACACAGTGGTTGTTGTCTAGCATCTAGTCCCTTGCCCTTTCCTTCATCACTCCGTGCTGAAGCAAGACGGGGTGACTGCCTGCCTCATGCCATCTAGAAGAAACAGAAGAAATAATTTTCTTTGTAAAGACACACAGGAAGAGATTTTCTTTTCTTACATGCAACCTTTCTCATCTCAAATGCAGTCTGCTAGCCCAGATTCCTCTGACCAGAAAAGCTGAACTAATCTCTATTATCTCTTCTGTTTACCTGTTGTTGCTACAAAATCGAGCTTGACTGACAACCCTGTGTCACCTGTGGCAGTAAGAAATATTAGTATTTGGTTTCTGCATAGCCATTGTAAACGAAAAGATACTTGCCGTTGCTCTGGCTTGGGAACCATCCTTTGCCTTATATGTATAGACTGGAACAAAATTGCATGTGTTTATGCTCCTAATGCAGTACCAGGCCAAAGCGTGGTAACTTGACCTTTAGCAACTCCTGGCAAGTTTCTACTATTAGAATTTAAACAATCTTTTGTGTTTACTTTCCAGCTTACTGTTGGTCTCTATGAATTCAAAGTCATTGTCGATGGGGAAAATGCATACGGAGAGGGTTATGTGAATGTGACGGTGAATCCAAGTGAGTTCAGAGGAACTGCATCTTTTCTTAACTTCATCTGTCTTTGTTAAACCATGATACTTATATCATGGTATTTTGCTTATTTGATTGGACCTTGGATTAACATAGTGAGAATTCATTACCTGTGAATTCAGTATACATAAAAGTATAAGTGTGTTAAATCATTTGCTAAAATGTGAAACTACTGCTAATACACATAGCTATCTCTGCTATACTGAATACAGTATAATAATTAAAAAAAAGAGCTGGGATACCGCTTCAGAAGCGCTTAGTGGTTTTCCAGGGTTAGGCATTTGCTACTTCAATAGAAACTAGCTGTAACTGGGTAAAAAGCTTATAGCAGCAGGAGCAGAAAAAGAAGGGAAGCCAGAGCTTTGAAGCTCCTTTCGAGGTTCTTTTCTTCCCTGTCCAGTAAAGAATATCATTCCCAACCACAGGCAGGTTAAGTCAAATCTCATTCTCTATTGTAAGATGCTTTTAAAGACATGGTTTGCAGATGAGCTGCTGTAAATACTAGGAGCCTGTGTTGACTTTGTCACTGGATCCCTCTTTTTAGATAGGCAATGTAAAGAGGGAAGGTTACACCACAGGTTCGGCATCTCCTTTTATGCACAAGAACTTTATTTTGCACGCTTCAGTGAGACTTTTTACACAACCTTTGTGGCCAAAGTGTGCTTGCACTCCCTTTGCAAGTGTTCAAGAGCAGTCATTTCTAGAGTATTAGCCTGGTGGCAATTCACTTCCTTTTTTTTTTTTTTTCCATTCCTTCTGAGCACAAATCGTTGCGCTGTTGACATGCAGTTCTCTGCAGTTGGCCTGATTAGTGGCTGTCTTGTAGAACTGCTGTGCCATGCAGCCACACTTAGGACTCCTCTCCTGGACTCACTGGGCTGCCAGTTGAATGATAGCAGGGATGAGGGAGTATATAGGGCTGAGGAGAGGGGATGTGCAGCATGTATCATGCTAACCACCCCTCGTGCACAAGGGCAGAGTAGTTTCAGAGAGTTGTTTGGGCAGGTTCCTTGGGTTTCAAAGGGTTCCTTGGTGCTTTGTATCATGATCTGCCTGTAGATGTCATTGTAACAGCTCAATTGTTGTTGCAGAGCCTCGGGTGAATCAGCCCCCTGTTGCCATTGTGTCCCCGCAGTTCCAGGAGATTTCACTGCCAACCATTTCGACTGTTATTGATGGCAGCCGTGAGTACCTGCTCGGTTAAATGCAGTAATCTAGCAAGCGTGGCTTCTGTGTGTTTGGTTCTGGACTGGCCCTTTTGGAATGGTTTTTAGAGGAACTGGCTGTGACATTGTCAAATGCACATTAGTGAAAAGAGTCAGCTGCTTTTGAACAGGAGAGGGGAATATGCACCAACAGTACCTCTCCGTGTTTCCTTTTGAACGACACTGTCCTGAGTGACTCTCCTGAAACAGGAGAAACCCTAGAAAGTTGCTGCTTAGAATCAAAAAAATTTCTGGTACCAGCCTCTTGTATTAAGCTTCAGGCATATCATTTAGCTAACATGCAGTCTGTGCTGATCCCTGCCCCCTTTAGAGCTCTTCAGGAGTTCTCTTAAATATATTCAGGTTGTCTTGCCCACAGCTGGGATTATTTTGTTAGTGTTTTTTGTCTCTGCCTGACACACACACAAACCTGGGATTAAGGGTATTTTAGAGTGTACCAGTGAAACCGTGCAGAGGAGAGTGTACAGTTTGGGTATCTGAGAATAACAGAGATCTCTGGCCATGGACCAAAAATGCCTTTGCCCATTAGGCATCGCAGTAAAGCGGGGCTGAACCTGTGGGTTTTGTGAAGCAGTGTTTTCCAACTTCTTGTATGTGCATTTTCTTCCCTAATTGTAACAGAAAGCACTGATGATGATAAAATTGTCAGTTATCATTGGGAAGAATTGAAGGGTCCTTTGCGAGAGGAAAAGGTTTCTACTGATACTGCCATATTGACGCTGACCAACCTGCTACCTGGGAATTACACGTTCAGGTAAGTTCTTCCTGGAAGAAATGATAAGTTCTCCTCTCTTAAGAATAAAACTTATAAGATTCCTGAAGTGTTAGTCTGGCTTCCAAAACAAAGCACCCAAGAAAAGAAGCCTGTATTCTGATTTTTCCCTCTCTCTCCATTCCCTTTCAAGAAGCTTTATAACTTTTCAGAAGTTCATAACTTTATAACTCTTTAGAAGAGGTAAGCTGTCCAGGTAGTTTTTTTCCTTAAGTTGTAACACTGATCTTAGATGATGGCAGAAGGGAAAATATGGTCTGTCAGAGCTACAAAATGTCTCCTGAGATGTCAAAAATAAATTGTTTGGCTAAAGGCTTAAGAAGAAATTCAGTTTTTAAATCTACTTTCCAAATGCAATGCATTTGTCTCAGATAACTGAATGTGGCCTAATGGTTTTCTGCAAACATCTGGGTAATAGGTATTAGCTGATATTATTCTAATGCTTGTTCTTACATGTTTTTTCTTTGGTCTGCATTTTGGTGTGGTGTTCATGTTCACTGCAGCAACAGGTCTAGTAAATAAAATTAACTTGAGTACCTATGACTGAACACTTGTTTTTGTCTTAGACAGTTGGTATACGAACTAGTCAGACTACTGTTCAGATCTAAATTTAGCAAAAAACAGTTCTATTTTGTGATATTAGCCTACTTGAGGAGGGATACTGTCTCCAGGCTGTGGGCTAGCGATGACTGGCCCTTGGAATGAACTTTTATTTCGTGTTGCTGGTGAGACCACTGCGCTTCTGATGTAGTAGATGTATGAAGTTAATAGGATATAGTCTTAACTTTGTCCTTCATTGCTGCTTGTAGAATAAGCAAGCATTTTTTCACTATTTGTCACTACATGGGAATTTTTTACTGTTGGGCATAGGTTTTAGTAAAAAGGGATCAGAAGGAGGCTTTGGTGCTTAGAGAACGCAATTTTCTCATGTATATTTTAACTATCTGCTTTCATGCTCTGGTACTGATAGCAAGTCCAGGTACTTAAAAGCAAAGCAGCTCTTTCAGACTCTATCATGATGCTCCCATGCAAGAACTAGAATATAGTAAGTCAGTTGTTTGGCTATGATGTTATGTAGTGTCCTTGTTAATGGGCATCTTTTGGGAGGCAATGTTGTACTTGGGGAAGTCTTTTTCCATCACAACTGTGCGCAGTGTGAAAGCAGACGATCTTCTTTCACTAGCATGTTTTTATCTCCAAACTGGGTGGTAAACTTCAATTTCAGAGATGGACATGACTTCTGAATTTCTTAAGTTGCACTGAGGCTGGTAATTAGGCATGAAAGGTGGTTGTGTTTTGCTATTCAGAAAAAGCATAGTTGCCTCAAACCATGTTTTTTCAGTCCTGCAAAAAAAAAAAAATCTGTCCTTAAATGTATCTTTAGGTTTCTAACTCTTCTCTTGCATTTCAGTTAGCTCCAGACAGCTAGCACCCTGTTTGTTTTGTATTCCACTCTGGCCATCATGGTTTTTTTCACTGTTAGCACTTTTTTTGTCTTCAGTCTAACTGTAGTGGACTCGGATGGTGCCAGCAATTCCACCACTGCAAGCTTGACTGTGAACAAAGCAGTGGATTATCCTCCAGTGGCAAATGCAGGCCCAAACCAAGTGATCACACTGCCTCAGAACTCCATCACCCTCTATGGCAACCAGAGCACCGATGATCACAGCATTGTCAGCTATGAGTGGCTGCTCAGTCCTAATAGCAAAGGAAAGGTGATGGAGATGCAGGTTGGTAGAAGTCTCCAGTGCTCGTCCCGTATTACTTATTAGCGTCTTATTTCTATAATCAAACCATTTTTAAATTGCTATTAGCAAATGCTTCTTATAATCCTACAAAGCAAGCACGTGTTGATTAAATATGTACCTAAAACTAAATACGCATGAAGATGGTATTGGTTCAATGGCTGAGCTGACACACCAGTCTAACCATAGGTTTTCACTGGCCTCCTCTCCCCATTCTTGAGCAGCGTAGTTCTAAATGTTGCTGATGAATAGAAGATGAAGAGGGATGGAAGCTTGATGGCTTTGAAGATTGATGTCCTTTACAGCAAGTCTCAGCACAACTTGATCACACCAATGTATCTCTTTCTAACCTATATGCCGCAAGGGAAGCGTGTTCTATGTGGTTTGTTCAGTCGCTGGATTCTCCAGAATGTCAGTGATAGCTAAATCAATGCAGGTATAATATGGATGCTTAAGTGCTATCAACAGGAGTGGAGCCAGACTGTATCATATTTTAGCTGACTATCAGTCAGGATTATATTCAGATTCACAGCATGACCCAGTCAGGTAAGTCTTGTAACAGGTCATGCATGTCCTAAGCTGGGCAGACACAATGGACTGGATCTTTTGAGCTGAACCTTGGAGTCTGACTTTTGCTGAGCCAGACGCACCTCAGTCCTAAGCAGTGTAAAGCAGGGACTTGACTTTTCTTTTGGATCAGGTTCACAGTGTGTGTGATTTGTACAGAGTTCCCAAGCGATGTCACTTGGATTGATAACTCTTGAATCACAAAAGATATGCACACCTATATGACGTTGCTCTTGTTATATCTCACAACGTTGTCCTTGTTGCTGTATGCAAGTTTGGCTGCAAGTGCCTTGCATGCTTCTTTTCTCTTGAGCAGCACGGCTTTCTGAGCCCTAACAGGAATTAATAAGAAGCCCCTAGAATCTGCTGATAACTGGTTTAGAAGGAGAGTTCTTCAGATCTGTTCTCATCAGTGTAAAAAATCTTCTTAATATGTGAATATGTTTTCTCAAAGGGAGTGAGGACTCCAGTCTTACAGCTCTCTGCAATGCAAGAAGGTGATTACACTTACCAGTTAATAGTGACAGATTCCGCTGGGCACCAGTCTACTGCAGAGGTCACTGTTATAGTCCAGCCAGGTAAGCTGCCCTTTGAGAGGACTGTTTTGATAAATGAATAGGGATAGCAAGGAAGACTGCTTTTGCTGCCTCTATGCCAATGTTTAGAGGTGAGCATCGTTCTGACAGCGTACTCTAAATCCTAGAGTAGTTGTGCATTGCTTTCAGCAAAGCTGCTCTAATTCAGGTGCTTCCTGGGCCCGGTGTGTTGCTGATAAACTGACAAAGGAAAGACTATAGGACTATTGCTTTAGTAGGTTGTTCTCTTACTAACTAGACCGCATCGTGTATAATATTGTTTAACCATAATGGCAGGGTTGTATTTACTGGGAGCTGCCTCTGCCCACAGTGCTAGGTCCTGGGACAGGAGCAGGAAAAGTGAGAGCAAAAATCAAGACTCCTGAGTTTCATTCTTATTTTATTGCAGATCTGTGAATGAAACTCTGGACTGAACTCTTAACTGCTTTTTATCTCACTTTCTCTGAGTACAAAGTCAAGATAATGGGCAAGAAATAGATTAGGGAACATAGAGACACTTTTTAATGCTGGGGGAGTAAGCTCTGGCATATGTATGAAAAATACTGCAATCCTTTTTCAGAGAACAATAAGCCCCCAAAGGCAGATGCTGGTCCAGATAAGGAATTAACTCTTCCTGTGGACAGCACCACTCTAGATGGCAGCAAGAGCTCAGATGACCAGAAAATAGTCTCCTTTGTCTGGGAAAAAACACGGTGGGTATCATCTTCCAGACTGTTCTCGTGCAAGTATTGGGATCTTGCTCTTTGTTCTGAACAACGTAGTTGCTTCCTTGCATCCCCATAAACTCTGCTAGAGCCTCCTGTTTGGTGTTACACAAGCTCCAGAGATTGATGTAAGGTTTAAACTGATCCTCTTGTATTTTGGTTAGGGGCCCAGATGGTGTCAAGCTGGAGAATGCCAACAGCAGTGTTGCCACTGTAACAGGCCTTCAGGTTGGAACATACGAATTTACTCTGACAGTTAAAGATGAGAGGAACTTGCAGAGCCAAAGCTCAGTCAACGTTATTGTCAAAGAAGGTATGTCCAGCCATGCTCAGAACTGTCTGCCTCGTCACATGAGACCCAAGTATTTCTGTGAGCAGTTCAGCAAAACCTGTGTTCAGAGACAACATAAAAATTAGGAACATGTGCAAAATAAGGTGGAGAGCACTGACATAGCCTTCTCTAAGCCAGGGGTTTGCCCTTATCTGGAGGAACAGTATCTTTAGCTGAATCCCAGAGTACTTAATTTCCTTTCTCTGTCCCATGATTAGACAGGGATTTGTGGGTTACAGAAGAGGTCTAGTACAGTAGTTCTTCCTTAGATGTTATCAGATTTTTTCCCAACTCGTTTCTTTCTGTTTGGTTAGAGATAAACAAGCCACCGGTTGCAAAGATTGCTGGAAATGTTGTCATCACCCTGCCCACAAACACAGCTGAACTGGATGGATCAAAATCCTCTGATGATAAGGGAATCATCAGCTACTTGTGGACCCGGGATGAGGGGAGCCCTGCAGCTGGGGTGAGGTGTTTATTTTTTTAAATAGTGATCTGCAACACTGCAGCACTGTGAAAGAGTCAGTGAGAAGTAGCATTGACAGACAGCTCCTGAGACAATGTGAGGCTAGTCATTGCACGTGTTACCTTTTAGCAATATCTTTAAATATGATGACAATGTCATGCTAGTTTGATCCTTTGTTTCCTGATATTTATTTTGCTCTACCTCCCAGGAAGTCCTGAACAATTCAGACCATCATCCCGTCCTTCTCCTCTCCAATCTGGTGGAAGGGACCTACACGTTCCATCTCAGAGTAACAGATGCCAAAGGGGAAAGTGATGTGGAAAGGACTACAGTGGAAGTCAAACCTGGTGAGTATATTTGTTCGTTGTACTTTCGTTGTACTTCTTCACTGTGAGGGTGACTGAGCATTGGAACAGGTTGCCCAGAGAGGTAGTGGAGTCTCCTTCCCTGGAGATATTCAAAACCCGTCTGGATGTCATCCTGGGCAATATGCTCTAGGTGACCCTGCTTGAGCAGGGAGGTTGGACTAGGTGATCTCCAGAGGTCCCTTCCAACCTAAACCATTCTGTGATTCTGTGATACTTTACCATGTTTATCTACAGTGCGTTAGCAAGCCCTCTATTTTTTTCTGGATGCAATGTACTGTGATAACGTGCATACTCTAGGTCCAGCTTGGGAATGTAAATGGTCAAAACCTCTGGGGAAGTGGTTATAACTTCATATAACTCTTGGGGGTTGAGTCTCACTGCTTGCAGTTACCTGTAAAGATCAAAGACCTACATCCCCTGTTACAGTGAGATGCTGTACTTTTTTCTTCAAAGAAGAAACATTCTGGAAAGATGGTAGAAACCTGACTTGTACCCACGCCGTCAAATGGAAGTTCTAAAGATCTGTGATATCTATGTTCTCCCTAGATCCTAGAAAAAATAACCTTGTGGAGATGATTCTGGATGTTAATGTCAGCCAGCTGACTGAGAGGCAGAAGGGTATGTTCATCCGGCAAATAGGCGTTCTGCTGGGGGTCCTTGACTCGGACATTACTGTACAAAAGATTCAGCCGTACACTGAACAAAGGTAAGGTGTGTGTGCATGCAAGCGTGCATGTAGGGGGATTGCTTTAGGGCCTGTTGAATAAAGGATCGCTTTCTGTTGGGAAGCAGAGTGGATAGCGTCGCTCAGCTCCAAATACAATAAGCAGCATGTCATACAAGGGATGGTTTGGTCCAGTGGGATCCTACCCATGCTGCTTTGGCCTGAAAGCACCTGGTCAAATTCAGTTTTCCACCTCTGCATAAATGGCTACATGGCTGTCTACTCTGGAAGGTTCCCTGTTCTAGAAAATACTTCACTGACTAGCTCTGTAGTGTGGTTGCAGCAAGAGCTACACTTATCTCAATATTGACAGCAGTCTGCTGTTACTGTAGGTGTGTTTGAGGATGCCTGAACATGAATGTGGGTGGCTTGGGAACTAAATTATCAAGGACAGAGTGGAAATCTGTTGAAATGAGTGCAATGCCCTTAATTTCTACTAAAGGGGGAGCTGTTTAAAGTACCTGAAGCATTGAAAAAGATCTAAGCAACTTGCTTAGTCATGTAGCAAGTCAGCAATAAATCTGGAACTAGACTTGAGACTTTTGTGGCTTCAATAATGTATTGATTCCTTTGTGTCCACGTTGCCTGCTGTAATAGTAAAACCAGAATTCATTGTCCGTGGCAAAGTTTAAAAAAAAGAATTCAGAACAGAAGAGGCAGCTCTTTTCGTTTTAACATTACCTTTCCGTGTCTGCCGTGATCAGACTAGTTGCCACCGTTCTTCCACTGAGTGAGACGGATAAGGGATTCTTGTAATATCTTACCTGTTGCAGCCAAAATACATGTTTATCAGATGCCTTAAAGGGCTCTCTATTGTATGACAAGGTCTATACCAGTATTGCTTTCAAGACACAGCCAGCTTTGATATTTCTGTAAATCTGGGCTCAGATAAATTTGGGATTCTGAGTAAGTCCCTCTGTAATGGCAGATGAGAGGAAAATGGCTCTCTGCCTGATGTTTGGAGAAGCAGCAGATACGATAATTTTTATATCTGACTTGCAGCACGAAGATGGTCTTTTTTGTAAAGAACCAGCCTCCCCATCAGATATTCAAAGGACGTGATGTGGCCTGGACACTGAAAAATGAACTCCGGAAACAACAGTCAGACTTTCTCATTTTTCGGGCATTAGAAATTAACACAGTCAGTAAGTAAGAGGTACTGTGGTATGGGCTAACATCTGCTCCCCTCTCCCCAGATGTCTGCAAGAGTAAGGGCCTTCATGTGTGCTAGGAACTGCCCCCTGCCCCAGGCTAATAGCTTTCTTATTAGCAAATGGGAAACAGAAAAATAAGTCCATTAAACTGTAAATTAACCAGTCAGTTAATTACTAGTTGATTACGGCTATCTGCAATTCAACTTCTTTTGCATGTTCATTAAACAATAACTTGTAATGTTACTGGGAAATATGAGAATTCACAAATCAAAAAGAGATTGATGCTTATGAAACTAAAATATAGTTTTAATGGAATACAGCCAATTAAATGAGTGTCGTACCGAAAACAAAAAAATTACAGATCTTAGTAACTGTGAATCTATTCATATCCTCTTCAGCATACACGTCAGTCTGATAGAGAGTAAACAGTTTGTTTTTTTTTTCAAATTTTTACAATTTACGTTAGCACTGCTTTCCTTTTATGAGCTCAAACCTATGAGGATTTTGTGCTGATCAATTAGTTACAGTAAATTAGAATTTTGGGAAGTAATAATTCTCATGATTTCCTGATCTTTAACGATTTTGTGCCTTTATTCCTTCAAAAGCTAGTCTTCGTTTCTGTTGTCACACCCTGATTCATGGACGTTTTAAAGGATTTATTTGTTTCCTGTGGTCTGTCTCACAGACTGAGTTCGAATTTGAGAGTGGAAACCTTATCAAACGCATACTTACAAATATTCCAATTCCATGACTTTTGTATCAAAATCATAAATTATTAGGCAAAATTTTCTTATTTTGTATCTCTTATGTTGCTAGTGAAGCAAGGCTTTTCTCATTTTGCATGAGGCCTAGACATTACATTTGCACTTCTTGCTACTTGCAATTATAGTTAAGCTAAGAAGATGAACTACAGAGTGACTAGATTCAAGTTAGAGCCTGCTGGGATTGGCCATCTTGAACTCCTACTTTTAAACTATACTGTCTAGTTTTGACTGTTGAGGTTCTAAGCAATTTTGCCCAGCAGTGCTCTGTTCTTTTTGTACTTTTTTGGCAGCCTGCAAAGATAAGTAGCAAAACAGTTTCCGTATTCCATATGTAGCCAGACTTAAGCAGCAAAGGGAAGATGATTTGGCTACGACTGCCCCCTGTGGGAGGCACAAAAACTCGTGGTTTATCTCCTGTCTTGTCTTTAGCTCTTTTTCTCAGGACTTCCAGAATATGGAGTGGGAGCTACAAGTCACATTGTTTTGCCCACAGGCAGCCCAAGTCCTCTTAGTGGGAGTTAGAATACATGCAAGATTACTTAAGTCTTGGTTTAACCTTGCACATAAGTCATTCCGTTCACCTTGCTGGTTTTGGTCCCTAGCATGTCAGTTAAACTGCTCTGAGCATGGACGCTGTGACTCCTTCACCAAACGTTGCATCTGTGACCCATTCTGGATGGAGAACTTCATCAAGGTGCAGATGGGGGATGGCGAAAGTAACTGTGGTACGTGCAGTCATCTTGGGATTGTTTGTCTTTAGGAAGCAGTGTTTGAACCCCAGGGTAGGCTGAATAACAGTACTCACTTTCTTCCAGTATCTCTGACATCATGTTTGGATAAGGAGTTAGTCCCACTCCTAATCTCACTAGTTGTACCTCTTTGGCAGGGAATGTTTGGTAGGGAAATGACTCTTCAGAACCTCTTGCTGAACACTTACTAAGAATTGAGTCCATTTCTAGTGTATAAATTGAACCCTTTTTTGTCATGCCCCTTCAGAGGCTTTCCTGCTATAGAAAAGTAAATTTTGTAAATCAAAAGACATTTTCAAATATGGCAAAGAGGCTTCTACAAGAAGCCTGAGCACTGAGTCTCAGACTTGTGGCTTCCCTAGGCAAGTTGGTGCTACTGTCAGTGATGGATGATAGGCTCTCTAATTCAGCAAAGAGTCAGGCCTGCCTTTCTTTTTCTCAAGAATAGTCATCTAAAGTCCACACCGTCAGCTGTATGAGGTACCAAAATGTCTTTATCTCTGGGGTGTTTTGCTTTCAGAATGGAGTGTGCTGTATGTGATCATTGCATCTTTCGTCATTGTGGTTGCCTTTGGAATCTTATCCTGGATGGTGATCTGCTGTTGTAAGAGGTGGGACTGAGCCCATAACCCGCACTGTACCAGTGCTTCAGAACAAGGGGCTGTATTAGGAGGTGGAAGAGATTCAAACCCATAGTCCCAGCAGGTCATCTGCTTAGTCCTATGATGTTAGTTTTTGTCCCTTGGTGTTTCAAGTGAAACGATAAGGTCCTCGGACTCTGGGTTCAGTTCAGAAGCAAGATTTGCCTGTAAATGTGCAACTAAAGCAATGTTTTTAGCGTGTTGCTTTCTGATATGAACATAGTCTGGAATAAGCAAGTAGTACTGTAGCTTTTAAGATCAGAGGGTTTTTTTTCTTGCTTGTTCAGAAATAGCCTGCCTCTTAATTCCTGTTCTTCCCCTTTAGACGAAAAGGAAAATCCAAAAGAAAAAGCAAATACAAGATTTTGGATGCAACGGATCAAGAAAGCCTGGAGTTGAAGCCAAATCCCAAAGCAGGTAAAACATGAGACGAGCTCAGCGTTTCCAGAATGCTGACTAAGAATACTCCTCCTCAGTGGACTTAAGATCACAGAGTGAGACAAACTTAATGTTAGGCACTGACAGACAAGTCTCAGAAGATCAAAGAGCTTGTTTCAGATGTGTAGGCAGAGCATTTAGGTAAATTGACTAACTGTGGTTTAGAAATCAAGGCTGAAACTGGCTTAGTCCTGATGTCTCCACTTTCTATCATAGAGGTATTATGTGGAGACCTGTAAACTGTTCACAGAAAGGTCCAAAAATTGGTATCGACTATAACTTCTCAGTTATGGAACTCTCAGGCAAGAGAAGCAGAGATGAGTAGGAAGGATAGTAAGAACGCAGTCATCTTCTCTCACACACCTGCATATTCTCTTTACTACAGCTTTTTGCCCTCAGAGAGCTCTCTAAACAATGCCCCTGAGCCAAGTCAGGGAGGCAGAGATCTCGCATATTTTCACAGCCCCTTTTGGTAACATAATTTTTTTCCCTACCTGCGTGTTGTGCTTTGCAGTATCTCAAAATGTCTGTGTGACCTCTGTCATGCCAAGTTATCTTAAACAGGATCACTTTGTCTTTGTCTTCAACCTTTGAAGGAATAAGTGGCAGATCCAGGAAAGTGTATTGATTAGACTACCCCTTTGACATGTTGAAAGAATGAGAGTGAAAGGGGGGGAATGGAGTAAGATGTGTTTGACTAATATTAAAAGTATTTTTAACATGGGAATGTCTCTCCTTCCAAGGTGCCAGACAGAAAGCCCAGATCCTCAACACTAGCCTGATGCACTCAGAATCTGAACTGGACAGTGATGAAGCCATCTTCACATGGCCTGACCGGGAAAAAGGGAAACTGCTCCGCAGTCAGAATGGCTCCTTGCGCAATGGACAAGTGATGCTCAAACCCAAGAACCAGAGGGAGGAAATCCTATAGCTTCTCCCAGGCAGCCTTTTGCTGGAGCTCTGTGGCAGAGAAGGCTGCTCCCATCTTCTTCTATAAGGGCCTTTGGAGGCCGGTTTGATTAGGACTGTGCTGCTAACTTGTTTCACAGAAAATAACTTTGGTTTTGTGGATTTCTTTTAATTCAGTTAAAACTGGTTGTACTTGAATTTGAATGTCAAGGGAAATCAAAGGGAGGAGAAGGTAACTGTGAACCACAGACTATTCATCAGGAAAAAACAGAGCTGGCATCTGGAATGCAGCGGGATAGAACCACTTGGAGCAACCGTGAATGTGCGGGACCCTCCTAGCCCACCTCAAACTGCAGCAGAGAAAAACACCCAGGGACTTCCAGGTCGTTTGCCTTGGGAGCTCCTTGGAGAAGGAAGGTCAAGGCTGTGCTTTGAGCTGTGCTCTGAGCTCCCTTCAGGCTCCAGTAGCCTTGCACAGACTACTCTTGCTGTACAACAACTCTTCTCTTTTACTCCCACCTTCCCTAATCATTTAAGCACTATTTTGATTTAAACTTGTCCTTTCACATGCACTGTCTGCTTTTGGAGTGTGCAGAGGGGGAAGCTAAACTCTCTGGTCACGCCCCATCAACTTGCAGTTGGGAGAGGGTTTTGTAGCTGTTCTAAATTGTGTCAGGCTTCTCTCGCTGGGAGTGTTGACACAGTGCCTGTTCAAATGTGAAAAACTGACCTGTCTGTGCTAGCTTGCTGGGCTAGGAGACCCCCTCCTGCAGAAAGCTCTCCTGGTGGGTGCCAGAGCCAGGGAGGGGACACCCACCTTTGGTACCTGCATCCAATGGTTGGCTTATTTCCAAAGCTGTGAGATGTTGTTCAGTGACCCAGCACTCTCCATAGGTCCCCAAACCCTCCACGAATCTGGATGTTACCAGCTGTATCTTGATTATGAAATGCCATAGACTTTTTCTTAAAACTTGTACAACCCAGGCCAACAGGGGTTGATATCCTCAATTCCCAACAGCTGGCTGTTCCCCTCTGGCTGGTAGCTTAGTGGCCTCATGCTGTGGCTGAATAACCCTGCCTGCTCCTAGCACAGTGTAAGTGCACACTTAATGCACTTTAGCCAGTAGAAAGGGGAACTCTCAGCACCTGCGGGCATCACATGCTGAGTGCCAGCGGCGGTGTTTCCCTGCTGCTTGGACTCTGGGAAAGGCCTTTCTAGGAATTGGGTGTGTGGTGGTCCTTTCCTATACCTGCTTCTTTATCTCACTGTACTGCTTTCATGAGCTGCACCCCTGTCCTTGGCCAGCAATCAGCCTCTCACTGGCATGAAGGATGCCATTGCTCCTCCAGGGATGGGTGGGCAGTTTATTGCCTTTCTTTGTGTTAATTTATTAGAACTGGAAACCTATTCCATTGGCTTTTTTGGGGTATAAAAGCCAAAAGGCTTTAACTTCCTTGGTTGTATTTATATTGCTGCACTACTGATTTGTGTTGAGCTAGGTGAAGATTAAACACTATTGAAAGTAAGGGAATGTTCCCTCACTGAATGTAGTCATGGCTGCTGCTAACTTTATTTTTCCGGGCAATCAGCTGTCTTCCTCGGGCACCAGCACCGGAGTCTATGTCGTTCTCGCCGAGCACCGCGGCGTTAGCCTTGTGCCCCATCCGCTGCGCCGGGCACGGGGCTCGCCTCCCGCTCCGCTGCGGTGCAACCCAGGTCACCTCCGCCTTGTGCGCGCGGCTTCCCGGGCCAGGGCTGCTCCTTCCGCACCCTTTCTTTCTCGCAGCTGTTCCTTCCCCCAAGCCCGCCTTGGACCACACACGGGGATGGCGGGACACCAGGATGCTGCAGTTACCATGCCTTAAAGGGGCACAGTGAGTGTTTGTCTGAAACTATTGTTGCAAGTTGTACTAATGGCCAGAGGCTTAACTCTTGAGTGACTCCACCCTCCAGTGTGTTTCCCTTCATTTGGATGCGAGATTAACAAACTAAAAGAAAATGAGATTTTTTTGAAGCTGCAGGAGTTAAGCAGATTTGGTCCTGGGACTGTGCCTGACCTTATTTTATGCTGTTAGAGGAGCGGTGTTGTCGTCTTTAACTGTTTCTCGTTCTTGGAGCATGTGCTTTCTTGAGCCTTTTGCTCCTCTCCGTCTGGGGAAGCCCTCTCTGCAGTAAATAGGATCGCTTGCCGTGGTTGAGCTTTCGGGTGTTCTTTACTGCGCAGATCAGTATCCTCACAGGATACTTAAAAGCACAGTGCGCTTTTAAGCTAGCCCTGGCTCCCTATTATGGAAAAGGGAAGAATTAGAATCTGGCACGTGACAGCACCTTTGCTTAGCTGAGGTTATTTTCTTCCCCCTTATATTTCACTGTGGGAAACAAACATTTACATTGCAGTGCTTTAGTCAGCTGGCAGCACCGCCGTGGGCAGAAGCGGCGTTTCCTGCCTCGGCGAAAGCTTGACTTTGCAGTAGGCTGTGGCGTTCCCTGCGCTCCGTGCTGAGCAGCTCCGCGAGCACAGCTTCCTCGACCTTCCTCGCGCCTTAGTCGTTTGTCATCCCCTAGCACAGGTTTGTGACAGAGCATAGCGCGAGCCTCCCCTTAGAGGGCTGCTTCCCATGAGTATTCCCTGGCTGTGCAGCTTCTCCGCCAGGCCAGCCGGGAGCAGCCCCCCCTCCCCGGAGCCCTCTCTCGCTTGGCTGTTAACCCCTGGTGCCTCTGAGCTGTCACCTGCGCGGGGGCTGCAAAGGACGAGGGGTGCGCGGACGAGAGTCCAAGCCTAAGGCAACGCGAAGCTGGAGGGCGAGAGGATACCCTCGCAAGCCAACGGCGATAGCTTCTGGCCCGCCATGGGAACCTCCTAACGCCGGCAGTAGGGGCAGGTTGTCTGTTTTAGTGCACTATAATGCAGACCTCCTTCCAAGGTGTGGGTGTGTGTGTGCGTGCGTGTGTGTAGAATAAATGCATTATTTTAGAATCGTTTACTGCCCTCTCCTCCTCCCCCCTAGCATCACTCATATCATTGCTCATTTGTTACCCAAGTACTGTGATCCTAGTTTGACCTTGCAATGGGAAGGTTTCTGCATTGCTATGCATCATGATTGCACAATTAGAGACACTGGCTACGAGTTACCCATGTGTGGAAGTTAAGAGCTGAGACATCTGTTAGATGAACCATCAGCTTAACTTGGTTTTGTTTTCTTCTTTAACATAAATGTACTTCAAACATTTGTTAACGTGTTGGAGGCAAATGTCGCGATCTTGTTTTAAAATAGTTTGCTCATAAATCTTTTCTTCATTCTTCTGTATACCAGGGGGCTGCCCAGCCTGTCTGAGCTTTGGTCTAACAATGTTTGTTGATTGCAGTGTTACTTGGATCAAGACTAATTTTTTAAAACAAAATGTTTCTTGCAAATAAACAGGGAAGATGTTTTGCTGCTGCTTAGCTTGCTTCTTTCTCCAGTTTCAGCTGTGGGCTGGTTCCCAGTAAGAGCACTGTACTCTTGCAAAGAATTGGAAGTCCTTCCTCGTTCCTCTTCCCCAGTGCCAGGCAGCAGGGGCTCGGTAGGCACCGCTGGACAAGGGGCTGCTTTAGCTGCAGCGCCCTGTGGGGCACCATTACCATAAGCGGCTCGCAGGGCTGCCGAGCGCTTGCTTGACAGACGGCCAAGGCTGCCGCTTGCTTAGCAGCCGGCTGCAGCAACCGCTACGGCTTGACTGCTCTGCCTTCGCGTAGGGCGCAGGAGGGAAGGTCACAGATGCCGAGTCTCATACAACGAACCTTGCACTTGTAACGTGACCTCTGGCTTTGTTTAGCTGAATGCCAAGTTTCAGCCTGGGATCGCTGAACCCCGACCGCCCTCGCCCCGGTCTCTTGCTCTGCCAGGTTGAGCAGCTCACTTGCTCCTGCTCTCCTGCCACGCTGGCAAAGGCCATCAGTGATTTCCTTGAGGTCGGTCACCCCTAGCAGCAGAGCTGAAGCTTTGGCGTCCAGCTGCGCGCTGTAGCCACAGGAGGTGCAGGGGTGCCTGG